TTTTTGTCTTCTTAATTTTCGATCATCATATACATTTGACTTGTCCTTCATGAAAGCTTAGTAGCCAAACAAAAAGTTGTGCAATAGTCCACTGCTTGATCATTACAAATTTCAGGCACTAATGTGAAATTTTGCTCCTGTAAATGTTTATTTTTAAAGTATGATTTTTTATTTTTTAAAGTATCCTCTGTTTACAGACTCCATTTGAGATTTATTTTCTACCTAAAGATTAGGTCACCCAATGGAAAGTTGCACTATGTAACCATTAGGCTGACAATAATTTACTTTAAACTTTCTTCCAAGTTATTTTCTTCAAAATTTGAGATGAGACAGTAAGTCACTTGACCACTTTTATGGGTCCAACAATTAGAATATGGCGGATCTGTACACCTATTTGGCAAGAGCTTAGGAAATAAATATTGCGCAGACGTCTACCATGTTACAAAAGCCTCCACACTGAACATCTGTGCATGTCCATAGAAATATGAAGAGTCACACATTCATGTTATATCTGCACTTGCAAAATAAATTCATTCATAGTAGTGACAGGTATGTTTTCTTTCTGTAACATTAGTTTTGATTTGCCATGTAATTGAAAAACAGCTCATAATTAAACAGCTAGGTTGATGAGTTTGGCTAGTAAACAGAGTGCTCGACAAAGCATTTATATAGCCCAGCATGAACTACTAGATTTATTAGCAACATGTCTAGAATTACCATAATGATTCAAGAGGTGGTTTCGACAATTTTCAATGATGCGCATGAACTTCGTTATCTATGTCCACATTTAGCAGGAGATAGAGATATGTTAAAAAATTTTCAAGAAAGTTATGTTTGGGCATGGATAATGAAGTATGAACTTCGTTATGATGCCCAAAATTATCAGGGTGATTCGAGAATTTTCAACGATGCGTCTGAACTTCAACACCTAGGTCCAAAATTATCGGGATGATTTGAGAGAGAATTTTGAGAAATTTCAATGATGCGCAGTGTACTGATTACTAAGAAATTCTGGCAGATTATGTTAGAAGGCATGTTGAAATACTGTATCAGTCAGGGCCATCATGAGAGATACTTATTATTCAAATACCACTGAAATAGTAATCATATTCTTTTTTTGGTGAATTCTTCTATACTGAGCATCAGTAAAAGTGGTTATTTTTAAGTTTTGGGAGGGATGTTTAACAATTTCTTAGGTTAGGATCCAAAGATTCAAATGATCCCAGTGTGTTGGTCCTTATGTTAATTGTGTAGAGAAACAAAATTACTCTTTAAGCAAAAGCTTAAACAAGTTAATAGCTTATTTTTAAATTAATATTTTTCTTGCATAACAGTTTCTCTGCAGTAATGTGCTGACATGCACCGTTTATTTATCCTTTCTAAAACACTGCTCATGAGTTAAAAAAAAAAAAAAACCACTCATTTTCTTTAATATGATTTGTAATTTACCGACTTTTTTTTTTTTTTTTTTTTTTTTTTTTTTTTTTTTTAAGTAATTGTAGACCAATGAATATGCTTTTGATTTGTTTTACTTCTACTAAAATAAAGCAATAATAATTATAAATGGAAAGTTATAAATGAAATCAGAAGAAAATATTAGGTTTCTCTACCTGAAGAAATGCTTAGTTGTAATGCTTAGTTACTTAGAAAGTAATGCTTAGTTGCTCAGTTCAAGAGTTATAAATTTTTATTTTCTTAGGCTTTACTTTTCTAAACACAAAACAGTAGATATAAGATGTATTTATTCATATTTATATGTAATCGTGTTAATCACACATTCATTAATTTACTTCAAAAGTTTTTTTATATTCAAATCCTGTCTCATTTTCAAAACAATATAAATTTGGACTTGCGACTCTTGAAGGTTCATAAAATCTATCATGCGGCTCACATCGCCTTGAAGTTTGGCCATCCCTGCTATATTACAATGACAGCCAACAAAGGCAACTACTGCAAACAAAACATACAATTCCTATATGTATTTAATTTGTTATTCATTTTGTTTATTAAAATAGAGCTCAAAATTAACACACTTATGCTAAATAATAATTCTTAAAATTGCCAGTTAGCACTTTTAGCATAGAAGAACTGAAATTTTAATAATTTACAATTTTAGTTACATATTGATTTTGAATATTTCTTGATAAATTAATAGTGGATGTGCATATTGTGGCTAATGAACTTAGAAAACCATAAAATTAGAAATTGAAAAGGATATCTGGATATTAGACTTTGAGCTAAGTTGTCTGAAGTAGTAAACCATTGATGCATAAGCAACATAACTCTGGGAAAGTTACAGTTTTCTTCTTTCAGTCCACCAATAGGTACTAAAAAAGGCAGAAGAAAAGAAAATTATACATAAAAATTATCTTATAAGCACACATATGGAAACATTCTATATGGATGCTTGATAGTTTTCCCATAATAGTTTCTAAATGTACTCTTTTACTAAACGCGGTGAATGCCTTCTTAGATGGCCCCCATGGTTCCAGATGATTCCGGTTTTTATGGAGATAGTCATGTGTGAAGATAATCACCAATGTTGATTATAAGATAATTATAATAGATTATACTATAATATGCATCATAGCTGCCACTGAGAACTGACATGCAGAATAGATTTATCCTATTCAAAGCACTTGGAGTTTATTAATGAAAGATACTAATGCAAAAATGTGGCATATCAATTTATTACTAGCATTATATTAACAAAATAATAAATTAAGTATAAAATAAGTTTGATTATTATAGTAAAAAAATGAAATTTAGAAAAAATTTATCTTTTACTATAAATAAATAATATTTTTAAATTAAAAAAAAACTGATTTTTTTGTGTAAAGCAAAATACACTCATGTCCATAAATTAAGGATAATGCAAAATCAGGCAAAGGAAGAGTATGAAGCAAAACAAATTTGATTTATTTGTAAAGCTTATTTATTAAACAAAAGGTAAAGAGCAAAAAAAGATGCTATACGTTTGATATTATTAAAAAAATTAGCGATTTTTCTCCCTGGAGCAAATTACAAAAAAAAAAAAAAAAAAAAAACCTATTTACAAAAAATCAATATTACACGGTTGGTATGATTGTTAATACATTGTATGTCTCCCAGACGATGCAATACAGTCTGTACAACGCCTAGGTATGCTGAGTATCAAATTATCGATCTGATCTTGGGGGGTATTACACTACTCAAAAAGCAATGCTCTCCGAAGTTCCAGTAGGCATGTAGGAGGAGGTTGACGGGCTGCAACTCGTCGGCCAAGCACGTCCCACACGTGCTCTACTGGATTCAAATCCGGTAAGAATGCTGGCCAGACCATACAGGTCATATCTTCCCATTGAAGGCATTCGCTTACGTTGTTTGCACGGTGAGGACAGGCGTTGTCATCCATAAACACAAATTGTGCGCCCATGGCGCCCCGAAACAAACGTACATGCTGTTCCAGAATGACATCCCGATAGATTAGGCTTGTCATGGTTCCAATTTGAACATGCTAGTCAGTTCTGGAATCCAGAATAATTCCACTCCAAACGAGCTTTCCTGCACCACCGTAACGGTGTCATTCAATGATGTTTTCTTGGTGGTAACGGGTACCTGGAGCTCTCCATATGAAAGTTCGGCGAGAATCAGACTGCATGCTAAACCTGGACTCGCTGGAAAACATCACACAACCACAATGTTGCGGTGTCCACAATGCATCCTCTCTACTCCAGGCTAACCGCAGGCGACAGTGAGTTGCAGTAAGTGGAACGCATCTGACAAGTCTACGAGCATATAGACCAATCCTGCCCTAAGCGTCTGTACACGGTCTGCCTTGAAATTGTCGTACCAGTGAGAAGAGTGAGTACCAGTGAGTGAAGAGAGCTGACGAGACAGGTCTGAGGCTGTGCTCCGCCTGTTTCTTTTGGCAGTAACTGCCAAATACCGGTCCTCATTCGGCGTTGTAACTCTGGGGCGACCTGTGCTGTAACGTCTACTCACATTACCATCATCTTGGAATCATTGCCAAAGCCTGGAGATGACAGTCTGGGCAATTCCAAGTTCGTCTGATACTTCCAGTTGAGTACGCCCACATTCCAGACTGCCGATAATTCTACCACGTAAAAAATCATCCAAATGCATCCTTTGTGTCATAACTATTCGGTTATTGCACTGAAATGCTTATAAAGCGCCTGCGAACAATTTTACTTCTTTGGCTGTATTCCTTATATATCACTCTCTTACACTCTCGTCATTGTGACATACCATCGGTGTCATCTGGTTACTTTCTGAAATTTGCATATGATTCTTGAAGATGTGTGTAGTGATTTTGCAGGTGATATATTTATTTTAGAGTTCGATTTCCGCGTGACTCCGAATTATCCTTAATTTATGGACATGAGTGTAAATAAATAAATAATCCTCACATCATAAACTGTGTTTAGTAATTTCAAAAATATTCACTTAGTATACTAGTTAAGGTATTTACTTAATAAAAACCTGCAAATTTTATCTGCTTTTTTTATCAATCACTTTCTTTTCTAAAAGAGTTTGAATTCCATAAAGTAGTAATTCCAAAAGTAATTTCTAGTCATTCAAAACTTTCCATATGGTACTGCTAACATCACCTTTAATAACTCTTAGCATGGCTTTTTTTTAATTTAATGCTTTTATTATTTACTTTAATCTAAAGTAATTTTAATATACGGTTAATCACTTAATATTTACCATAGTTAAAGGGAAAAGATGACAAGCATACTTACAAGCTGCCTTAGTGACACTTGAATATTGATTTATAATATTTCAGAGAAGAGTAATATAATAATCAATCTTGATTTATTCATATTCCCACATTTACTTATCACTTACAGAGTCAATATAGGTTACATAGTTGCCATTAGAGGGTGGGTTCAGTGTATATCAAATTTTTACTACATTAAAAAGAAATATTAAGATATGTATAAAAATTATTGCTCCATCTATTAAATACTTAAATTTTGACATTGTCTGTAAAATACATTAATTAACACATTAATATAGCAAAACAATATAACATGAAAATTGGGAGTGAAGATAATAGGAAAGTACCATATAATCTATTAAGAAAGGAAGAATTAGTTCTTTCAAAAGTATATTGCAAAAGGCAGTATAAAAAGTAGATAAATTAAAAAGTTTCACAACTGCTGCAAATTCAACATTAAATTAACATGCAGTAATCTTTAAGCTGCATTTTCAATTAAAACACACAATTAAAAAAATCAAACCTGATACAGAAATAAAACAAGAATTATCATCACTTGACTGGAATGAGTCACACATTTTCATAATAATCGATTTACAAATGCAGTACAAAGTCCGTAATCCAGATTCGTCGGGACTTCAGTGATTTCGGATTATTGGTTTTTCCGGATTAAAAATCATCAATCTAAATCTGGTAAGATGGCATGCAGAAATTATACAATTAAAAATATGAAACCGTAATTTCTGAAATAAAGAGCAATTATGATCTAAAGGGTATCAAATTTTACAAAAAAAAAAGCTTAATATTTATTTGTTTACTTTATTAAACATTTCTTTATATGCACGCATTCGTAATGTATGCTCATTCTCTACGTGCATGCGTAAAGTTTGTGGCTTTGAGGTCCGGATAATGGACGTCCGGATTACAGACTTTGTACTGTAATATATTTATAGAAGCCATATTCCAGAGAAAATTATGATTTTTTAAAAAATTCCACATTCTTTTTGCACAGAATGCACAATTTCTTCATCTTTTAAAATTTTTATTAATTGTCTTTGAAGCACAGACATACCGAAAAAAAAAAAAGAAGGAAGATGCCTTTATAGCAGCGTTTCTTTTCAATCTGTGATCTGCAGACTATGTCTAGTCTACTTTTGTGGTTCTTCTATTCTTATATAGCAGACAAAAAAAAAAAAAAAAAAAAAAAAAAAATTAATTCAGATTAACTGCTACAGCTACAGCTGTAAATATTAGAGTTTGAAAATTACACATGATAAATACCCACCTATTTTACTCTCAAGTTTGACATTTTATGATATTTACCAGTTACCTGCCTATGAACTTCTTAGTAACAAAAGAGGAATTTAAAGCATGACTGCTGTGCTTTTTCCCATACTTTTGCTGCAGATTTAGCATCACACATACAACCCAACAAGAGACCACAATGCATTGAAATACAGAATTATCTTCTCACATGTTTATGACTTTCTTAATTGTTTTGGAAACAGATTGAAATGTTATAGGCACCAATACACTACACCTTATTAAAAATCAGCATGTTTCGGCACTAATTTTTTTATTTCTATTTTCCCAAATGAAGTGGGAGAAATTTAAACTTCATCTGTTTCAAAACATGGGCAAAACAGATCCAAAATTCCAATTACAATTCTTTCCTGTTTCTGTTTTTGTAGCCAATAAGAATATAATTAACTTATAAGTAAACAAATATAAGTATTAAAATGCAAGTAACTTATAAGTAAACAAATATAAGTATTAAAATGTAAGTAACTTATAAGAAATTCTATGCATTGTTAATTTGTCCCTTATCTTTTAGTATAATTAGTTTAGTTGTTTGAAATCTTTTTTATACGATAGACATTAGTTATCTCTACCACATAGTGCCCTCTGTACACAATGAGAAACTGGCTTCAAACCGGATCTTTGAAAATAAAAGAATGTGATGATAACCTTCATTTTGGTCATGCTGACAGCATAGAATTTGTGAGTGATCGTGATTTCAATATCCATTACACTAGTGCCATTAAAAAGCATCTAGTGATACTTAAAGCTCTTCAAAGAAAATGTACTTTTCAAAACATGATACAGTTGTTTGAAATTTGGATTTGCTTGATGAATGAGTGAACCAAACCTCATTGCAACATACATTACAAAGCACTTGGGCTGATCTTTACTGTACGGTACTCCTTGGTTTCTGTCTGAAAAAAATCGCCAAGTGGTATTATTTGTTCGTGAAATCTGGAAGCCCACTGCATGAAATAGGTTTTTCGGTAACCCTAATGTTGATAATGTTGGTGAAACCAACCTTTGGGATTTTTTTTTTTTTTTTTTTTTTTTTTTTTTTTTTTTGTCATTGAAAAGGGGCTATTTCTGTGAATATCAGCAAAGGCATTGTGATAAATTGAGATTTTGGCTATTTTTTGTAATAGTAACGCTTTCATTATGGACCGGGATTTTTTAATTCTCATCATTCTTTTCAATTGCTGTGTTTGGTTGCACATGCATTGATGTTGTATTTTGACATGTGTATCATCACTTGAGTATGTTTGAGATAAGTAAGAGGATGAATGCTGATGGTTTGAATTATGATGAAACTGTAAATTTGAATGTATTTATCTGCCATTAACAGTAGATGAGTTGAAATGACCAAAATTTTAATTGAATCGCTTATGTGGAGGATGGAGGAGATGGTGGTGGCAAGCATGAATGTATGCACATGAAAAAAGGTATGTTAAAAAATTGATGTTTCATTTATTTATTCACCTCTGTGTGTTAATTTCTGTTAAAAGATTTGTTGTTTAATGTTTTTGTGTTAGGAGATATGTATTTTTGATTATTTATTACTCTCAATTTGTGTATTTTTGTTTATTTGTTTGTCTCTATAAAGACAGCAGCGAATTTTTTCCGGTTAACATGATAGTTTTAACTTTGTTTTAGCTTTCTGATTTTGTTTAAGTGAAAATAGACCAATGTGTACATGGACAAAGTTAAGGCAGTGCACAATGCTTAGTTTGTGCAATTCTCTGATTTTTTTTTTTTTTTTTTAAGTTAAAATAGGTGGATGTGTACATGGATATCGAGTTTGTGTAAGTCTTTGACTTCTTGTTTTGGTTTTGTGTAGCGGGTAGAAGGATCAGCACCATCTTGAAATTGGTGCCAATCCTTCCTGCCACTGATCTTAGCATCAAAAAAGAAACAATTCGCCAAGGGGTACCATAGAGTAAATTTTAACCAGTGCTTGCAAAGGAATGTATGAAACTCATGAAACTGAAACTACACGTTGAGATTAAACACACTAGTCTGAAAAGTACATCTACTGAAATTTTCCAACGATGTATGAAAGAACTGAAAAAAATATATATATATATATATAAATTGTTTCTAATACAGGTTCTGCAACTAAAAAGGCCTTAGAAGTGTCTTGTATATTGCAAATCTTCATATGATGAAAAGCAGACTCTGAATACTTTCAGTTACAGAAGACAAATAATGTTTAAAGAATAATTATCCATGGACAATGATTCAATACCACTCTAAAAAAATTCAGTTGTATTCTGAGTCAAAGACATTAATAATATAGAATCTGGACTTAACAGTAGAATAAAAGAATATCTGTTTTATTAATTCCAGGTAGAAGAGACAAGCTGATGTATCGAATGATGCATCAGGTATGAGTTTAATGACATTTATGAAGATATGTTATTATTGAAGACTGTCAACTCTGTCTATCATGTGAAGAACAAATTTTTAATACATGCAAGAGCATGAAATTGATTGGAAAATAATGTGTAAGTTTTTGTTCAAATGGGGTCCATGCACTCGCCGGTAGGCATAGTGGGACTGTAGAGCTTGGCACCTGATCTTAGACCCATTATTTCATTCACAAGGAACTTGGGGTGGTCAAAGATATGTCTTCTAAATTCAAAACCATGTTAGATGACAGCATTAAGTTAATCAGCTATATTAAGGGAAAGCCTCCAAACAGTAGAAGATCTGATCGAGTTGATCAACTTGAACCAATCTTAATCGGACTTAGTAAATTTCAATAAATCTTAAATAACAAACAATTTGTGCATCAGAAGCAAGCAACAGAATGTGTTTGCCTTAGTGTTATCATCTAGTAATCAAATCCAATAACTTTATTAATCATCCAGTCAGTTCTTTTACTCCCAAGTGCCATAATTATATACTGATACACATAAAGAGTTTCCCCCAAAATTACTAGTTATCAAATAATTGTAAATAATTTTTAAAATGTTAATTTTAAAATGATAGTATGTGCAAAAGAAGTCACGGAGAAAAGAGAGCAATATCAAGCACATATAATATGAGAAAAAGTTATATAAAGTCAAAAGTCGTTAATCCGGACTCGTCGGGACTTCGGCAATTCCAAATTATCGATTTTTCCGGATTATAGATTATCAGTTTAAATCTGCTAAGATGGCATGCAGAAATTATAAAATTAAAAATATGAAACCGTAATTTATGAAATAAAGAAACAATTACAATCTAAAGGGTATCAAAATTTACAAAAAAAAAAAAAAAAAGCTTAATATTTATTTGTTTACTTTATTAAACATTCTTTCAATGCAAGTTGTTGTTTAAGTTTGCTTCGTTTTATGTGATAATACTTCTCTTTAATTCTATAAACAGACATAATTTCTTGTTCAGTTACAAAGTTTCCGCTGTTCAAGTCCTATAATTGCTGTGTCAAAAATACCGATTAATTTGTCAATCGAAATTTTTTCGTTTTCAACAACCTCTGTGTCACTTTCTTCACTATCTCAAGTGAATTATAATGATGAGGAATTTGATTTAAATCATATCAAAGACGTAGTACATCGAGATGAAATACTACATTTAGTAAGGAATTATAAGCCAAATAAAATAAAAACATCTGCCCTGATGATAAAAATAGTGCTGACAGATCAACTTCAATTCATTGCGTGCTGCGGCGTTTTTCCCGCCGCAGAGCAGCGTGAAATTGATAAACATATTTTGGAATGGTTAGAGAAACAAAGGATATGCCTTTATCCATTTTTTGCAGCAATTCCACTTTTTGTTTAATGGTCTTCGAAACATACTTTCGCTTTGTAGATCCTTTACATATTAGTAAATATATATCAAAAATTCCATTTGACATAATCGAAAGTTCAAGCTTACTTTTATAAAATTGCTCTAACAGTCTGCAAAAAATAATAAGCCGGATCCAATTCGAAGATTAAGGAACAACGCAATCTGCAACATTAACTGAATTAGATAATTTTAGCTTAGCTTATACCGTCCGTTATACATTAAACGCGCATGCGTAAACATATTACGTGCATGCGCACACGCATATTTGCAGCCGTAAAGGTCTTACGCGCATGCGCAGAAAGTTTGTAGCTTTGAGGTCCAGATTATGGGTGTCCGAATTAATGACTTTTGACTGTATATTATCAAATACATTTTAATTGAATATCAATGGTCTTAAAATACACTACTCACAAAATGACTCTATCAATATGTCTACAAGTGCATCTACTGCAGCAGCTTTAACAGTAACTCCAGGTACTACAGGACGATCTTCTTCTAGCAACATCCCATTATTATTATATTGGTTAGAATCCAGATGCCATGAAGTACAATAGCTTTTTTCTGTTAGGAAAAAAAAATTATCAAATGAGTGATCATGACAAATATCATACTTTTATTGCAAGCATTTGTACAAGGCACAGTATAAATGCTGCTTAATTTTCATTCAAGAGACTTAGTATTTTTGAAAAGGAACAAGCTTTTCTCAGAGCTTTTTATCAAATGCTCATTTTCCCACTGATGAATCTATGAGGATTTTGGTTTGGTTTATGTGATTACAGCAAAGCCCCAAGGGCTATCTGCTTAAGAGGAGGGATGCCTTTGTGAAGGACTTTCTACGGGAAACTGGCTCGCATACGTTATACATGGGGATCACCATGAAAACGTCCAAGCAGCCAACTCATTTGCAGGATTTGAACCTTGGACCGAACTACCAGTGTTCAGTGTACCACTTGGCTGCTGATGGCCATACAGTTATTTGCATTTTCCCTGACTATGTAGATTAAGATAGTATACTAACTTAATTCCTTATTTATTAATTTCAGTTTTTTGAAATGGCTACATTTCACTGCAATTTTTTACATTCCTTTTACAAACCACCTAATGTCAGTTTAATTTTGTATAATTTAATTAAAGACCATTCTCAGACATTCTGAAGTGAGTGACAATAATCAGGAAACATAGATGACCAAAATCTGCATGTAATCAAAACTTGAAATGTTATCTTAAACATGATAATGACACAAATTATTTAAAAATTTAGTACGCTCCTTTGATGGAGTAATCATAATTAAATAATGTGCTTACATAAGTGTCATCTTTATTTTATGATTTCCACAAAACATCCATAACTTTTATTTTTCCTACAAGTGATATTTAAACAAGGTCATTCACTTACATACTCTTCTAAAGAATAATTCCAAAATTTATAATTTTATTATAACTGATATTTAAAAGTAAACCATCTTTTAAAAGGCCATATTATCACATTAATTAAAGACCCTATTATTACAAATTTTTAACAATGAAATATTCTTGAGAAAGGAATCCAAAAGAATGTTCTTTTAAATATACAAAAAATACTTGACACTAAAAGCTTGAACACTAATTTTTTTTTTTTTTTTTTTTAAATTCCGTGAAAAACTGTTCTTTTCATGAAATGCACATAAATAAATTATAAAATGCATCCTAGATATAGTGGTGATGTAATTAATTATACGTATAAATTTTTAATTAACAATTACCACTAATTCACAATGAAAATATAATTAATGATTTGAAGGACATGTTTAATTGTAAGAGTACTGTTTGCAGATTTCTGACAAGCAATATTGCAATTTACATAAAAATACTGCCATACAGTAATGATTGTAACAAATCGTGTACACTAATGTAAACAAATAATTTAGAAAACATTGACTGGGCAGCACGGAATGTATGGAAAGATATGCAATTTGACGAATAATAATAATAATAATAAATGAGATTCAAGATGAAAATTCTGCATTATTCTAATAAATGCATCGAATCATAACAATGAATAAAAAGACTTGCTTTCTTCCTCTGGCATCTTAAGTCTCTTTATAATCCGTGTTTAAGGAGCTGCTAGTTATCAAAATAGAACGCACATAAGCATTATGGTCTGCAGCCATATTTAGATTAATAAAGAATGTTATTATGGATTCACATAACAAAACTGCACGTATGTTTCATACATATATCTATAAAAAGATGGAAAGGTTCGAAATTTAACACTTGTTAAGCACGGATCGCGCCACATTAGCTAAGCGCAGATTGTGCGTTTCATGTACGGAATGGCAGGATGTTATGCGATTTGTTTCCTAGGCAACGGTGATAAGCTGATGACGTAAACGAAATCTTGGGCCTTGATTGGAGGATTAGCTAAATGGGAAAAATAGCCTGGGAAACTGCTATTTTTTATTCTGGATCAAGTTGTTGAATTATATTAGGTCGGAAATTAAAATTTGGAATGCTTTACATAATATCAATAGTACAGAAAGTAACTTGGAGAGAAAATAAGCAGTTTCTGAATTCACAGTAAAATTAAAAGCAAACAAAAATTATCTAAAATAATTTTATCTCTATTACCAAATAAGAAACTGTTGTTTAAAAATTCCAGCTTAAAAACCAGACAAATAAAGGGACCCTACAGTTATGATGAAAATGTATGCACTTTTATTTTTTTCAAAATATTTCTGGAAAGACTGGCGTAGTTGCTAAATTAAGTCAGTTTGTTATTAATTAAATTTAAGTTTATTAATTCAATTTATTTACCAATTAAATTTAAGTTAAATGACATAGCCTTACGGAACAAGCTGGCTAACTTCTTTTTTTAAAAAAATTAATTACATGATTAGCGATTAGCTTCGTGAAACTCCCCCCCTCCCATTTTCCGAGCACTAGCCGAGTAGGCATTCGCCAGCGGATGGTATAATGAATACTAATAATTATAATTAGATAATTTCATTATCTCATCGCCAAGAATATTGCTCAGAATGTATCGCAGAATTTATATAGATAGTGTATACTGTTCTTATAAAAGAAGGGAGACACACCGCAAACGACACGCTTTATACACGACTGGAATCTGAGACTAGGATGGTAAGCAGCTTCCGTCGCCTACTATTATACTGTCTAAAGCTGATATCGTCTGGATGCAGTAATAAAGTAATTGCTAATTTAAGTATAATGTTCAGGGCATTTTCTTATTCACTTGCAAGTCTTTCATTTATGAGTTCAATATTAACCTAGCAAAATGGGAGATTTAATTTTACAGAACAATAACATTTTTCCCAATAAGTCCTGTATATGAAAATTAAACGGTTTACATTTTAAGGAAAAATACAAACTCTCTTCTGATATTAATAATAATAAAGATTTCTATTTAATCAACACTGCAGTTAATATTTAGATTATTCTTTATGCACATAATATTAAAAGCTTAAAAATGATTTTGTTGTTCCTAACATGGTGTCCTAGGGCACGACATTGGGGGCTTAAGTGGTTATCAGATCTTGAATCGAATGAAAATCTGTTTTTCGCTGGCAAAATCCACCTTGTGACGGTAGAACACCTTTCGCATAGTTCCATCCCGACTTTGCCAGAGAACATCCCAGGCGATGGAATCTAAGAGGCTCGGACCCCTTTCAAACATGTTAGCGCAATAGTATTAAAGATTTTAAATGCCCGTATACCACACAAGAATTTATACAGTAAAAAACATTCAAGTTTTCTCCAAGATTAGATTACTAATCGTAGTGTGGTAATTAACCATTTTGCAGAGCCTGGGTTCAAATCCAAGAAAAAGAATGGAATTAGTAAATTTTAGTATCTTCCAATATGGGGGGGGGGCCGTTAAAATTCCTTCAGCCGGAAAATCCAGTCTCTTCGAGAGATTTGTGATGTAGCAAAATGGCTATAAAAATTTTCGGATTAAAAAAAATAATAATAAAATTAAATTAAAAAAATAAAAAATTCTGAGAGTTTTCAGATTTTAAATTACGTCTAAAGGGGCGTTATTTTAACATTTTGTGTGTTACCTTTAGTTATTAAATATCATGTTCTTCGCACTTAAACCATAAAATTAATTTCATGGTGCTCAAGAACATAAAATTAGGCTCAAGAGCAATATCGCAAAATAATTTTAAATTGAGTATCTCTGATATACAGAGTCTCTCGCGCTGGAGATAAAAATATCTTTTCTGTACATAGGTGCTATTGCTCGCTTTGAAATCCTTGAGTTCGTTAACCAAACATTCGTTAAAGCTTTACAAAATAGGAAATCGATAATAAAACAAATTCCAAATTTCAAATTTGGCCTTCCACATGCCCATATTAGCAGGAGGATTACGTTATTCAAAATTGGATGGCTCTAGGTAATTTGCTTTCTCACAGTGCGAGAAACATACATACATTTATGCAGATTCTTCATTATTTAATTTCTCTAAATATAACACAGGGCGATAATATTTGGTGGCAACAATTTGAAAAGTGACCCGACATTTATAGTGAATCAACGCAAAATGCCAAAACGAAATTAATAGCCCTTATGGGCTAACGGCCTCTAGGCTAAAAAAGTAAAAATAGTTTTAACTAAATCGCTTATTTAGAAAACATTAAATTATCAGATAACTAGAACACTTTTTTTAATTAATCTTCGATATTGGTACCTGTTTAATCCCATATTTCATAGACTCTATCCCACAATATATAGATACTACGTGCTTCCTCGTACAAATACTATACATTTATTAACATCCATTCCCTTCTCCAGGATTCTAGCCCAGGCCCTTCCTTACAGTTAGCGTCACTAACCATCGTACCGTGTAAGCGGCATACGTATTTTTAAGTACCATCTTTCAATAGCTTTTCATTTTTTTTCATTTCATTGATGAGATTTGGTTTGGTTTGGTTTTATTAGATTACGGTAAAGCAATTGAGGGCTATCTGCTTTAAGGGAGGGATGCCTTCGTGGAGGACTTTCTAAGGGAAACTGGCTCGTATACACGTTACACATGGGGAAAACCACGAAAACACCCATGCAGCCAGCCCGTTCGCGGGATTCGAACCTCAGACCGAACTAGCAGTGTTCAGAGACTTTACCGCTCGGCCGCTGGTGGGCCCCGTTACATATGGGATTGTTTATATTCGAGTGTTATGCAAGTGAAGAACCTAAAGAGTGCTACTGTTAATCTTCAAAATAAAAAAAAAATTACATCTTATTATATTACTTAAATTTCGCAAAATGTATTCTATTAAAAAATAAAATAACTTGCAACAATTTTGTAAAGAGGCTCTTTCTGTAAAAGAATTATTATTAAGAATCAAAATTGGTAAATAATTTCTAATGTATTAAATTTAACCAATAATTCGACAAATTTTAAGGAATTTTCATTATTCTTCAGATATACCATTTTAATTATTTCGATAAAATTATCAATGATAAAAAACTTTATCATTTATTTACTTATGTGCATTGTGTTTGAGCATAGAGTATTTTCATTTTTCCGGTTTCTAAATTCATTACTCTTCAAGATATACCATATGTGTCAAATTTTCGGAACAGTATAACTTTTGTGAAACTACTATTATTCTTTGCTAATATGAAAAGCGTGCAACAAAATATAAAATAGAATTTACGCTAAATAAACAAATGTCTTACCTGTCTCTTAAATTTTTTTTCTTATAATATACGTTTCATAAATACGCGTTCATATACGTTAAAGTTGCTTATATGCATACCTTTTGGGAATATTTCATTTTTTCTTCCGACTAAATGACATATCCTATAAAAACTATTTGTACTTTACATCAATATCTAGCTCAATTTTCTAAATATAATTTCCATATTTTGATTCGAAAATTTTTTCTAAATATAATTTCCATATTTTTCTTCAAAAATTAGGTCGTAATGATTCTTTATATACAATATCTTCTTTTATACACTCTTTTGCAAAAAAGTCGAAGCACCATGAAGGAAGTGGTTGTTTTTGATGAAATTGAATATGTGTATAGCTCATACCCAGATAATAAAATGGTTAAAAAATCAAGGTCATAGTACCTGTTCACGGCTCACAATCACCCATTGAGTGTTCAAATTAGTAGTTGATCGAAACGCCCCTGGCGGCAATGCATGCTTGAATTCGTCGAGGCAAGGAGTGGTAGAGGTTCCTAATGTCATTCTGGGACATTAGCAATACATCAGTTGTCGCTTCAGATCTGCGATATTTTGTGGTGCCCGAATCTGGCTGCCTACCATGCCCTAGACACTCTCGATTGGTGAAAGGTCTGGTGACCTTGCTGGCCAAAGAAGAGTATCAACCTCACGGAGACAGTCCACAGATATGCGAGCGATTGTGACCTGGCATTATCTTGTTGGGAAATGGCCCCAGGATGACGTGCCATGAAGGGTAATCCAACCGGTCACAGAATGGTATCAACATATCGTTGAGCTGATAAAGATGTACGGAGGATGACTAAAGATGACCTGCTGTCATAAGAAATAACGCATCACACCAGGGGTTATGGCTGTATGCCTTTGCAAAACAAAAGCAGATTGGGACCGTTGGCGCCGTCCTCTCCAGACACGAACACGGTTGTCATCTGCTTCAAGAGTGAAGCGGGATTCATCGCTGAACACTATACGAAGCCAGTCTGATGGCAGCCATGATGATAGGCTGCGACACCACTCCAGACGACTCCGCCGATGTTGTGGAGTCAAAGGCAAACGTCTTAAAGGCCTCTGTGAGCGTAACCCCGCCTCAGAAAAGCGCCGTGAAAAGGTGGACGGTACCACGGGAGGCTGTAGTGAGTTGAATAGTCAACAATGATACCGTTGGGGCGGTTCGGGCCTGGCGAACAATCATCCTATATTGCCTCGCATTTGTGCTCCTTGGTCTTCCAGAGCCTTCATTTCGTCAGCAATTTCCTTGTAACAACCATTGCTGCCAACATCTTTGCACAGTAGTGTCTGTGCGCTGCAGGTGGCGGTCTATTGCTCGGTATGACCACCCAGCTTCACGCAACCCTACAAGACAACGTTCGAAGTCGTTTAGTTGTCTGTAAGGTCTTCGATATCGTCGTAGTGGCATCCTTAGTTGCTTTTTTACGGAATTGCAATAGAGGCTACAAAAAAAGATAAATTTTTCGCCTCTGTTACTGGTTTTATACTTTGCGAATTGCATATAGAAATGCGCGCTATGATCGCAATTCCTGTTCATTTGCCTTGAAATTTTGAACATTTGCATTTTCGATCAAGATGTTTTTGCATACCAAATTT